ATTTTTTGTATTTTTAGTAGAGACGGGGTTTCACCGTGTTGACCAGGATGGTCTCGATCTCTTGACCTCGTGATCCACCCGCCTCGGCCTCCCACAGTGCTGGGATTACAGGCGTGAGCCACCGCGCCCGGCCGGACAGTTTCATTTAATGACTCCCCTTCCCATGCCCCCAGGATTACTCCCCTTCCACGCCCATTCAGTAGCCAGGTCCACTTCATTTTAACCCTGCAGCATGTCTGAAATCTGCCTCTGGTTTTCTGTGCTTGCTGCCAGCATCCTACTTGGTCCCCGTTTGCTTGGACTATTGCATGGGTTTTCTACTTGGCCTCCCTGTCTTAAGGCTTTCTTCTTTCAATCCACCTCCTACTCTGCTGCCAGAGCAGTCTCCGAAGCTTAGCTCTGATCATGTCACTTCCCTATCTGAAACCTTCCATCCCCCGCATCCTGCCAAATGACCAGCAGCCTCCTTCGGTCCAGCCCATCTCCCAGTCCCCTCACCATGTGCTGCAGCCATGCTACACGATTCCATCTTCCTTCTCCTTATCCCTCCCTGATCCTCCCCCCCACCCTCCCCCATCTTTGCGCAGGGCATCCCCTTCAACTTCACTTCCAGTTGTCTACATCCTCCAGGTACTACAACAGATTGGTTAGGGACATGAACATTCTGAAGACACACAGGCCAGAGTTCTAGTCCCAGAACTTACTAGCAGTGTGATCTTGGGCATGATATTAGCGCCGACCTCACAGAGTTGGTGTGAGGACGACATGAGATCACCTGTGTGAAACATCCGGCACATAGTAAGTGAGCAGTCAGGTTGGCTGTTGGCTATCCTCTTCTTCTCCTCAAGTGCCACCTCCTCCATGAAGCCTTCCTTCTGTTCCAGTCTGATGGAGAGCATGTTCTAATGGGCTGTCACATGGGGTGTCTGCCACCCACTCAGGCAGTTTCACGTAGTAGCCCTCAGTTGAGTCCTCATGTTTCAGGGTCAGGTCACCCTTAGTCACCTTGAATGATTGGTGTCTTGATGATGAAGAGATGCTTGAACACACCATACCAGATTGCTATATAAATCTAGTTTTTAACGGGATAGTCACTTTTCAGTGATCAGAATAGTCAAGTTCCCTGCCCTTTTTTTTTTTTTTTTTTTTGCCATCTTTTTCTTTTTCTAATTATACTTGAAGTTCTGAGATACATGTGCAGAATGTGCAGGTTTGTTACATAGGTATACACGTGCCATGGTGGTTTGCTGCACCCCTCAACCCGTCACCAACATTAGGTATTTCTCCTAATGCTACCCCTCCTCCACGGGCCCCAGTGTGTGATGTTCCCCTCCCTGCGTCCATGTGTTCTCATTGATCAGCTCCCACTTATGAGTGAGAACATGCGGTGTTTGGTTTTCTGTTCCTGTGTTAGTTTGCTGAGACTCCCTGCCCTTTCTTAATATGAGGGTCTCAGGAAAGCCCAAGCATGAATCTGAAGCTCTGTCCTTTTGATTGTGCTGGCTGTAGACCCGCAGCCTTTCCCTACACACTTCAGTGTCCGCCTGTTCACATTGCCTGTGTTGAGATGGGTTAAATGGCTCATTAAGTAAGAATGGGCTAAAGACCTTCTGTAATAGTCTCCTGAGATGATGATTATTAATGGAGGCTGGGCGTGGTGGCTCACGCCTGTAATCCCAGCATTTTGGGAGGCTGAGGTGGGCAGATTACCTGAGGTCAGGAGGTTGAAACAGCTTGGCCA